AGGAAGGAACATAGACTGAGGGTGTTTGAGAACAGGGTGTTGAGGAGAATATTTGGACTGAAGAGAGATGAAGTGACAGGAGGTTGGAGAAAACTGCAGATTGAGGAGTTTCATAACTTGTACTTTTCTCCAAGTATAATTAGAATGATCAAGTCAAGGAGGATGAGGTGGTCAGGGCATGTAGCACAAATGGGGGAGATGAGGAATGCATATAGGATATTGATGGGAAAGCCAGGAGAAAAGAGACCACTGGGAAGACCAAGGTGTAGGTGGGTTGACAATATTAAAATTGATCTTAGAGAGATAGGATGGAATGATATGGATTGGATTGATCTGTCTCAGGATAGGGACTGGTGGAGGGCTCTTGTGTACATGGTAATGAACCTTCGGATTCTATAAAATGCTAGGAAATTCTTGAGTAGCTGCAGAATTGGCGGCTCCTCTGGAAAGGCACAGTTCCATGAGTACAAGTAATAATATTAGCAAAATTTATATTTGCTATATTTATTGCCTGCCATAGAACTCACCTTTTAAGAAAATTCTTAGTATTGGAAATATGAGCCCATGGAGGTAGTTTGGTTAGTTTAATGTATTTTATACCAGTATACTAGCACAAGAGATATAATGTGATAGGTAACCCTTCTCAATAAATATAGCCTGAGCTTTTACAAGGCACAGTCAAACTGACATNACGAATCACTACATAGTGGGCGGAAGAACAAATGTCAGTGTCTTTTAAACATACAGAAAAACATGGAGGCTGCACATACAGCCAACCTAAACTATCAGAAGATGAACACTGTGCTACCAACTGAACAAATTAACACTTCCCATAACACAAACTGACAAATCTTAGCCAGAGTTAAAAGCAACATTTTTCTTTTTGTGACAATGGATACTTTGTATATTTAGACCAAACAGGAATAAAGTATTGTAGACTAATGCAAGCATCATAACGCAGTTTCTCGGTTTGTACTTTCAAAATTTCAAGAGTAAGATTTAATTCAGTATCGCTGTGATAGTTGCTTTGCTAAAATAGAAGGGAGATCTTGGATCAGAAAATATGACTGCATATTGCTGACAGGAATGACTAGAAGACTAAGCATATACAAGAGGCAAGTGTACACATGTTTATAAAAATGAATAAGACTAGAACAAAACTGTAACAGAGCAATGTAAATTGCAATTAAAACAACTCATAACATATAACATGAACAGCCTTACACAAAATGCTTCTCAGAGAGGGATTTTCATATTTAAAACTGGATTTTCTTGTAATTATAATGGAAGATTGTTCCCTTGTACATAAGTTACAGAACTTAGGTTTTGTGTAGGTGCCAGCCTTAACACATACAATGCTCTTAACCTGCCATTGGTTACAATAAAGTAACACACTTGAAACCTACAATAAGCACCAGGTAGGGACCCATATAAAGGCAGAAATGACTTAAGGATTCTTACGAACCGAAGACTAACCTAGTAATAGATGAAAAGGGTGATTTGCTTCTCAGTGAGTTTGGTATACTTTCCAACTGCCTTGTGTTGACAGCAGCAAAGCTACGGCAAATAATCTTGGTTATATTTTTTTACATTGGTAAATTGGTTACAATTAAGTAACACACTTGAAACCTACAATAAGCACCAGGTAGGGACCCATATAAAGGCAGAAATGACTTAAGGATTCTTACGAACCGAAGACTAACCTAGTAATAGATGAAAAGGGTGATTTGCTTCTCAGTGAGTTTGGTATACTTTCCAACTGCCTTGTGTTGACAGCAGCAAAGCTATGGCAAATAATCTTGGTTATATTTTTTTACATTGGTAATATAAAATATCAAGGTTAAGTTGTATATACTGAAACTCAGAGCAACTGGCACAGAAGAAACTTGGCTTCTCTTTGTTAATTTAGTCTAGAAGTTTCTGAAAAGCGGTACAGATGTGACCTGCCATATAACCAGGTGTGATACAGAACACAGCTGTCACAAATGGTACTTTTGCATCAAAATTGAGATATTTAGGAACCCTCTTTTATTACCACATTTTCTGGACTGTGAAGAGTGCCTAGATTGTACAAGTAAAATTATAGGAAAGAAAATCTTATGTATCTTTTGACACAAGTTTTAAGCAGCATTATCCTGGAAGAAGAAAGTGCATGTTGTGTACTGCAGAACGTATGGTATTTTCTGCCACTGTGTTTGAATTTCTTGTTAATAATGAACGTGTTTGAGGCTGGTAAGTATGAGAATGGTATGAAGTGGCTCAGGATTGTGCCCACAGTTGGGATTTAGCATTGGTGTTGTCAGACCATAAGGTTAATTTATCAGGTGGCTAGAGCAGTGTGATGATCATGAAGCTTCTAGCAAATAGTTGAGCCACTGAGGTGGAAGAGTGCAATGCTCCTCCAATCTGTTTGGGGTGCAGACAAAGCTGTAGCCAAACAAGTTAAAAGTAAAATTTACTCAGATTTTAGCAGATATGGGATTTGTAGTGGACCAAGTTGTACTGTGGTGGGTTTTCTCGGAGATTTGCCAGTTCTCATTCTACCAAGTGCTGTGTATTCATGGATCATTGTATTGTCATGTGTTAGTGGCTACACATGGAGTTTAGATTGATAATTGGATTTACTGAATGCTTATAAGTTGTAACTACAAATAATTATAATGCTTTCACTAATCTACACACTTTACAAATTACTGCTGCAGACAGTCTTCCATGACTTCAGTAATTGTTGGTAGGTGGTGGCATCTCATTATGCAACTGAAGACTGTGGACTGGTAACTGCTGACTGCACTTCTGACCTATGAGTGACTCATGACTAGCTGTCAGCTGACTACTGTTGACTCAGCTTGTATCATCATATAAATTAGGCACAGATTTTATGGAAAACATCACTTCCATAAGTTCCTCTATTGATGAATGACATGTGAAGTGGGATGTTGCCCAACAATAGCCCTGGTGGTGTTGGCACAGGAGCATGTTTTGGTTGCCATGGAAATGTGTTAACCACCCATTGTCTAGCAATGGATGACTTTTCTTGGTCTTCCCATTGGTCTCTTTCCGTCTGGCTTTCCCACCAATATTCCTTATCCCCTCCTCTCCCATTCGTGGTACATGACCTGCCCATCTCATCCTCCGTGAATTGATCATTCTAATTATACTTGGGAAAGGGTAAAGTTATCTCTCTCCAATCCAAATATTCTTCTCAGACACCCTCAGTCTGTGTTCCTCGTTTAATGTCAGAAACCAAGTTTCACACCTGTACAAAACCACAGGCAAAATTATAGTTTTGAATATTCTAATTTTCAGTGTTTTAGACTGCAGACTAGAAGGCAGAAAGTTTTCCTTTTCACATAATTCAGTTGGAACAGTGTTTAAATGTATCTGTTAATTACATATTAGTAATGTACATCATGACTTAACAAATGGAATGCCTGTGTTTACATGAATACATAACTTCTGTTGACAAGAAAACTGCAGCCCATGTTTTTGGCCAAGGTGAAAGGCTTTAACCTAGATCAAGTTTTCAGATTTCTTTGTAGTTTTCACTCACAAGCACAAGGTTTCAACTGTAGTGTATTAAATTTGCTGTCTTAATTGTCTAATGTCTCTTGTGATTTGTCACAGAATTTAACCAGACATCTCCACTGTGGTACAAGTTCACAAATAAAATCATGTGTGCATGGCCTGCTGTTCTCTCAGAAGTCCCTCAGATGCCTTGTATAGGTTTCAAGTTTTAATTTTTTCTCAGTTTCCAAAAATTAGCTTGAATGTGTGAAAGCAGACTTTTTATTTAGGTGCCCAAAATGCACACATAACACCACAGAGCCTTTACAATATCTGTGTGCTATAATCTGGGTTAGTTGTAATTTGTTGAGATATAGGATTGTTGATCCTGCTAGCAGTATGAAACTCTGAAGCAAGACTAGACTGACAGAGTGTCTGATTCTTTCATTATCGTGATTTAATGAGCTATGGGAATCTCTTACATTTATATTTATTTTCATTTCATTGATCCAATCCTTTCCCTGTAAGGCTGGATATAAAATATGTCACATATTACAAATTCATGACAACTAAACATCACACATCTTAGGTCCAGTAGAGTATATAAATGAGGCCTCATGCAGACAGCACAAGTTGTCAAGACAATATACTGTACATAAGCCGTGGAAACACTATTGTCACATTTCCAACTATAATAATTCTGTATTGCATAATTGCACATTTGGTTATTCTATATACATTGGCCAACTATATTATCAGTATAGTTTCATTTTAACATATGAAATTCATAGCAAACACGGTTATTACACATACTGCCACACTTATAACAAGCAAAGCCTCAACAACGTATAATACAAGCATACAGACTGTTTATTCATTCTTAACATTTGAGTTTTTTGTATGTTCAATAAATTCGTCAATAGAATAGAAAGACTTACTTTGCAAATAATTTGATAGAACAAACCTAAATTAAGAAAGCAGTCTTCTGGGATTTGGCACCGTGTATATGTGGTGTTAACCGACGTTTCGGAGGAACGTATCACCTCCATCTTCAGGGTAGAAGAAAAAATATAAGAAATCTGCAGGCGAAGAGACCGTGAGAAACGGTAAAAGCAGTCTGCGATACGTTCCTCCGAAACGTCGGTTAACACCACATATACACGGTGCCAAATCCCAGAAGACTGCTTTCTTCATAGTCACCGCCATGAAAGCCTCAAATCTTACAAACCTAAATTAGCTTTTATCATTTTTTAAAGTTGAGATATTTGACAGCAGAGTATTAAATAGCTTGACACCTGAATAATACACACCTCTCTGATAGGGTGATAAATGTGTTGTAGGTATATGAAGGTGGTCACTCCATCTAATACTAATCATATATACAGAGTTATTGGTATGAAACTTATCACAATTATTAACAACAGATGTCATCAGTGAGAGCAAATATACATGGGGCTGGTAATATGCCAAGCTTTATAAATAAGCCTTATTTCCTTTTGCATAACAAAGCCCTTATGGCTGTGAGTTGTATTTCCCCAATATATTATTCCATATCTCACCAATGAGTGATAATTTGCATAATATACAACTTTATGATTATTAATATTTAATATATAGGATAATTTTTGCATTAGAAAATCAACTGTGCTCAACTTATGAAGCAAAAAATCTATATGTCCCTTACAAGTCGGATGATTGTCCAGCTGCAAACCGAGAAATTTTATTGTTTCTACTTCTTTCAGCATTTTGTTAAAAAACAATGTATATGGTGGGTAGCTGTGTAAAATTTTGACAGGGAAGGGGGAGATATCTATGGTTCAGATTGCAGTGAATGATAAAAATTAATTGAAGTTGTGTTCTGATTCAGTAGCTTCAGTAGCAACTAGTTTCTGAAATACCCAAATAAAAATATATGTTTTCTCTTTAAATATTTTGATACTCACCATCCCATGATTGTCTTAGATTAACTTCATGTTAGCATAAACTTGTACAGGGTCTATCAATGAATTGGGCCATTTGGCAGCGGTGTTTTTTCCTGGACTGGTTGGAGTGGGGAGGATCCCACTACTGCCACCCAGCAGCCTACTTCAAAGCGATTTAGTTACAATGGTGCAGCAGACTGGAGCACAGTGTGCTTTTGCTGTGAAAGCATTTTACAAAAACGTTAACAATTTCGTGATTGTGCAGCGTTTTGACGAGAGTTTGGTATTCATCGCAGTTGTGCTGTTCCATCTGCCCATGCCATCAAGACCTGGGTTCAGAACTTTGAGGCTGCTGGTTTCTGAAGAAATGTGGTAGTGTAAAAACAGCATGTACACCCGAGAATGAAGCGGCAGTGAGAGAAGCCACTGAATGAAGTCCCCGCTGGTCTGCGTGTCACCACACTACATCACTCAGGCTGTCCGAAGCCAGCATTCGACAGATTTTGCACAAAGATCTCCACTTCTACCCCTATAAAATTCACATTACTCATGCCGTACATGAACATGACTATGAAAACAGAGTTGATTTCTGCCAGACATTTTGCAGTTAATTAATCAAAACCGAGATGTCATTAACAACTTACTGATGAGCGATGAAGCTCATTTCCATTTGTCAGGGTTTGTTAACAAGCAAAATTTCTGCTATTGGTCAGCCATAAACCCCCAAAGAAATTTATGAGAGGCCACTTCATAGTTACAAAGTCACAAACAAAGGTATCATGCACCATGCTGTGACTTTGGAACTATGAAGTGGTCTCAAATATATCTTTGGGGTTTCTGGCTGACAAATAGCAGAAATTTTGCTTGTTAACAAACCATGACAAATGGAAATGCTTCTTAGCTTCTGCACTTTCTCGTCTTCAAGTCAAGGAAGAAACTTTTTTCCAGCAAGATGGGGCTATGTGTGACACTGCACGAGCTTCCATTTAAGTTGTGAATAACCTGTTTCCTTACCATGTTATCTCCAGATATGGGGACATCATGGGGCTACCTGCCACACCGCACGAGCTTCCATGGCAGTTGTGAATAACCTGTTTCCTAACCATGTTATCTCCAGATATCGGGACATCATGGGGTTACGTGCCACACTGCATGAGCTTCCATGGCAGTTGTGAATAACCTGTTTCCTAACCATGTTATCTCCAGATATGGAGACATCATGCGGCTACATGCCACACCGCACAAGCTTCCATGGCAGTTGTGAATAACCTGTTTCCTAACCATGTTATCTCCATATATGGAGACATCATGGGGCTATGTGCCACACCGCACGAGCTTCAATGGCAGATGTGAATAACCTGTTCCCTAACTGTGTTATCTCCAGATATGGAGACATCATGGGGCTACATGCCACACCACACGAGATTCAGTGGCAGATGTGAATAACCTGTTTCCTAACCATGTTATCTCCAGATATGGGAACACTATATGGCTAGCCAGATCACCTGTTCTTTCCACATGTGATTTCTTTCTCTGGGGGTATCTGAAATCCCAAGTTTTCAAAGCTCCAGCACCCCACACAGTTCAGGAGTTTAAACGTCGAATTTAGGAAGAAGTTGAACAAATTCCTGTAGAGATGCTGCAAAGAGTAATGAGTGACTTTAGTAAGAGACTTACCGAGTGCCTACAGCGAATGGTGGTAATGTGTTGGATGATATTTTTGGGAGATAGACCTCTGTTTTCAGTGAGTTAATTGAGGAAAACCAAATGCTTTTATGTTCACACTGTATTCATATGTGTTAAAACCAAATAAATGTAATAGTTTACTGTTCATAATGTTTTTAAAATTGCCCGATTTGTCGGGTTATAACACTACTTCATTGTTTGGTATCTTAAGTGGTTTACAAAATGGAGACTGTTGAAACCTGTATTTTACTATATATAGATTTCTGTATTTATGTGACATAGGTGTTCTCCACTGCTTTCTATTCAGGAGTGTGCTTTCATTTCATAGGAGTTTTGAATAAATGAAACATGTCAGATTGGGAGTTGACTTGGCAGTCTGTATTCATTCATTCATTATTGGAGGGGGTGGGTTTCCCCATGCACGGCGACCAATTGTTGATCTATTGTACGTCCCCCTTTGATATTCTACCAGTCGCCATACCCTTCTGGTACTGGTGCGAGTTTGGCCCCTCTACTGGCAGTGGTACCCGATACTTCCCCATCTACCAGAGGCATTGGAAACTACTGGGGTGGGAAAATTTTTACCTAATTTTGCTCGGAGGTCTCCTAGAGACAGGATCTTTTATGTGCCGTAAATCTGTGACATGGGACCCATGGCTTAAAGTCCCTCCTGGAGGACTTGTTCCCTGAATTTTTCTGCCCTTAGGAATTCCACGACCTCCGCCGGTTTTGAACCCGCTTACCTTGAGTCATGAGGTGAGAACGTTACCCCTTGACTATGGAGGCTGCTTGGCAGTCTGTATTATGTAATACCGCTGGATCACTAAGGATTAAAAGATTTTACTGGAATCAGTTCCTTGTCTGGCTCTGAAATGTCTTAGTTCATAGAATCTTTTCAATTAGAAAACTTTATGCTGTCATGAGCAGGGCTGATAATGTTCAAAATTGGATCGAAGCCTGCTGCTGAAGAACATGGTTGATAGGCAGTGGCACAGTAAATGCCTTATGATGTCATTGCCTTTGCTATGCACAGTAAACACATGACAGTAGAAGAAATGTTGGAGACATTGTTTTCTATTCATTTTCACCTGAGGTTATATAGCAAGTTGCCATCAGTATTAGTTGATAGGTAGCAATGCAATGAGTTACTTGCGAGTTGACAGTTAGAGCATTGAGTTAGTTGTGAGACGGTTGCCAGACAGTATGGAAGTAAACAGAGGACGTTGGTGGGATCTATTACCAGGCAATGGCTACTGAAGACATAGGAGACCTAGCATGGGCTGTGGTGATATGTAGAGTGTGCAAATTAGTGAGAGCATTGTAATTACTTGTAGTGACGATTTATAAGTGTTCAGTAAATCCAATTACCAATCCAAATCCCATGTCTAGTGACAAACATGTGACAGTGTTAACTAATATTAGTTTTTTGTAATAAAATTATTTACCCAGAATTAGGTAATTAAGTTGTAATTAACTGGAGGTGTAAGTAACTGATATTTTGCATGGTTTCTTTTACATAGATGGCAAGTTTATTCTCGAACTGTCACATCGCAAAGAAGGTGATCGCAATTCCTGGGTTCCTGTTCCAAAAAAGACATACTGGCCTCCACCTGCAGCTGCAGGAACTCCAAGACAAGAGAGTTCCACCTCACTTAGTGGTATAGTACATCTCCAATTGTATGCTTTTAGTTATGTTTTTAAGTTTACATTTAGTTATAGTGTGCATAGCATGCGGTAAAGTTGCCCCAGGCATATGAGGTAAGCGGAGGTATAGTTCCACCTTTCTTGACCTCGGCCCTAGATTGAGGCGAGTGGTCAGTCTCACGGCGCTACTGCTTTACCCCCCGGGGAAGATCCCCTGTGTACCTACTGGATAGAAGGCTGAGTGGACCCCTGACTCAGTCTTGATGTCATGGAGAAGAGAAAAATTTGAAGTGCTCGGAATCGAACCTGGGTCACAAGGTAGAGGATAAAGAGCAGTGTCATGTTGAAATCTCAGATAGGGTCGCATCTTTGGAAAACTTAGATAATGAGTTGGATATTAATAGAGCTTGGGAAACTATTAGACTGAATATAAAAATTTCAGCCAAAGAGTTTCTAGGTTACTATGAATTTAAGAAGCATAAGCCATGGTTTGAGGGAGGTTGCTCAAAATTATTAGCTCAGAGGAAAGAAGCCAAATTGGAATGGTTACAGGATCCAAGTGAAATAAATGGGGATAATCAGAACAATATAAGTTGTGAGGCCAGCAGGCATTTCAGGAATAAACAGAGGGAATATCTGAGACAAAAAAAAACTTGCAGGTAACAGTAAGAACAAGAACATCAGAGACCTGTTTAGAGGAATAAATGAATTTAAGAGGGGTTACCTACCTCGAAGCAATATAGTGAAGTATGAGAATTGTGATGTTCTTGCAGATTCCCACAACATTTTGAGTAAGTAGAAGAACTACTTTCATTTAAGGTCAGTGATGTTATGCTGTTAGTGCCTGATCCAAGTCCTTTTGAGGCTGAAATTGCTATTGTAAAGTTGAAAAAGTGTGAATTGCCAGTTATTGATCAGATTCTGGCTGAACTGATTCAAGCAGGAGGTGAAATATTATGTTCTAAGATCCAAAAGCTGATTAATCCTATTTGGAATAAGGAAGAATTGCCTGATCAGTGGAAGGAGTCTGTTTTTGTACCAGTTTACAAGATGGGTGATAAAACACTGTAGTAATTATTGTAGGTACATGGAATGTTTGAAGTTTGTATAGGGCAGGTTCACTCAGGGCAGTGGCAGAAGAAATCTTAAAATATAAGTTAGATTTAGCAAGGGTACAAGAGGTCAGATGGGATGGAGGTGGCATCGCAACAGTAGGCGAATATACATTTTTCTATGGAAAGGGGAATGAAAATCATGAATTAGGTACAGGTTTTTTCATACATAAGAGAATCGTTTCAGCAGTTAAAACTTCATGGACCGGTGATTTAAATATTTAAATCACTCTGGGGACTGGCATTTTTAAACATACTACCTAACTTGTGCACTGTTCACTTTAAAAATTAATATAAAATCTAATTAATTTTTTGAACTAAAATTTTTGGAGAACACTTACCAATGCTCCTAGAAGTGCTTGAGGGTGTGATATTTCTGGAAACTTTCTCCTTTCTGAAGTGGCATTACACAGAACTTGCAAATGTAGACATACTCCTTTTTTTGTGAACTGTGCAAACACGGCATTGCCTGGAAGTATTCTTCCCCTTGGAATGTTCACTCTTCACAATTTTCACGAGGGTATTTTTCCGCATATCACTCAAGAGTTGCCCTGGGGGGGGTCCACATGAGGCCGTCGTGGGGTGGGAGTTGATGGGCCCAGTCGTAGTAAGTCTTTGTGTGACCCTGGTTCTGCCGCCACCATCCGGACTGTAGTCCAGGCCTTTGCCACATTCATCAGAAATGCTTTGTATTTCAATTTTGAATCAGGGTTTAGATTTTTTTTTAGATTTTTTGCTGTCCCCGCAATGTTACTACACACAATGTTATTACCCGCATTATCATCGGAACTACTGTCACTTTTACTGTCTGTGGCCACAATTCTTGTTGCCTTCCGTCACTGTCGCTGTCTGAATGACAATCCATTACTACGCTTCTCACAAGGCAGGTCAGCTAGGTCATCAGAGGAGAATTTGTCCTTGATCCATTCTCCCCACTAGCTACTGGCTGATACACACAGCTTGAAGAAGGCAAAGCATGTTCCTTTATAGTCGGTTAAGTAAACAGCGAGGTCAAGTTACTGACTGCTAACTAAACATTCCAGAGTCTTATCACGCGTCTGCAGGCGGTTGCGTGCAATGTATGTGGCGCCAGAGTGATGTATAGTGTGTTGCAACTTATCGTGTTCTAAAAACCTGTTAACACACGAACGGTCCACCATGTTTAAAAGAAAAAACCTTTTAAAGGGTGTGCGGTCCACAAAGTGTTAAGAGGGTAGAGTTCGTTAGTGATAGGATATATATTGTGACATGTTGCGAAATCCGAGCCCCCCCCACACCAGCAGTGACGCGGCGAGTGAGTCAGCGCTCCCCTCCCACCCCGCAATGCGCAACGCGCGGTGACGTCACGAGCGGAGCCGAAGAGAGCCGAGCCCCGTAACCTGGCAACTACGCAATGCTAATCAACAGCGGTGACGTCACGCTAGCAACGGCGTCCTATGCTATCCGCCACGTCACACTAGCAACAGCG